GAACTTAAATCTGGCGAGTAGTAAAGTCTGCCGTAGATCGTATTCTAATGTCCCTTTTCCCCTTTTTTTGCAAGTGGAACAGCCATGGATATGATATTGCTAAAATGTTTGGAAACAAGTTTACATCCATCTCGCCTGTCTGGCTCCAAGTGAAAAGAAAGGGCAAGGAACGGTTCCAGTTTAGTGGGCTTCATGATGCTGACCAAGGTAATCTTATTCTTGCTTTATATGTTATTTATAGTTGGCATGCTAGTATTGCTGTAGGCTGAATGGAAAATATTAACTTATGAAGCTTGGCAATATACTGATATGGACTTGTCTTTGCTTTTGAGGTAGGATTTTATATGACCATTTAAAAAAAAAAAAAAGGCTGGGGGGGAGTGGGGTATTTTATCAAAGAATAAACTGTCCCGTTTGCCCACAGAAATCAGTGGAAGGGTAGGGAATACTAAATACCTGGTTAAAGGAGGCACAGTGTAGGGGTGGGAAGGGGAGACAGGCGGAGGTAGCAGTGCATGTCAGCATCTTTCATTCAGTCCATTTTTTATCTGTTTTTGGAGGCTGTACCATATAATTATATATTCCATATTTCCTTTCCTTGGAGACGTCTCCTCACCTAACTGAAGTATTTTGGAGTAGCTTGTACAAAAGATGGCTCTTCTACAGTGTATTGAATTTCTTCATGGAGGAAGCCAGTTTAGAAATTTCAGAGAATGAGGAATGAACAGGGGGGAAATGAGAAACCTCTTCCTAGCTGGATTTTCAGGCTTTATGCTATTTAAATTTTATTTTTGGTAATGGCTTGGGTGCCAGCAAACATAATGGAGGAAAGTTATCCCTAAAGAAAAGCTATCTCTGGAGACTAATTCTGAAGAAGAGATAATAATTCTGTTCATGGCCTGCCCAACTTACCACGTCAGTGAGATAATCCTGATGAAGCCAGCACAGAGAGTTTCAAGTATCATTTTACTTAAAATTTTCCTTCTGAGGATGCTTCATGTTTGCAAAAATGTCAGCGCCTCAGGATACTGCAATATCAAGGTATAATAAACGAGTTTAAAAAAACTTAGTCCGTCAGCAGTGGACAAATGTTGAAGTTTATAGTTATAGTGTTGATTTAAATAATGCTTCATGGAATCAAGGCTCTAATGCTATCTTCTTGATGCCAGAAAAGTTGTGCTTCCAATAGCATGATGCAAAATAACAACCTTGCTGTTTTTTGAAAGGTGTGGATGTCTCAGATATAGTTTTAACTTAACTTAACTGTTTGACTTGATTTTGACAGGCTGGATAAAGGATGTCAGAAAAAATGCCAAAAACATCAAAATAAGTAAGCCTCCATCGAAGGGGGGGGTGGGTTGGGGAGGGAGGGATGTGCCATTCTTCTCTGTCATCTGAAAATTGCCATAGAAAGGAAACTATATTTTTTGTTTACACAGGCAGCGGTGTAGGTGTGGGAGAAGGGGTTGCAGCAGGGGTTGGCTTATGGGGATTTCAAGGCAAAAGGCTGAAAGGGATCAAAGCAACTACCGTTAACTAAGTAATTCAGTGGCTGTGCCTTTTGGAGTGTTGAGGCTTCACCCAACCTGCTGCCCCCTTGGTTTATATTTCTTCCGTCTTCACTCCTGGCAGCCACGTTCTTCTCTGGAGAAGTTGTGTGGCATCTATACTCCTAAGCTTGACTTGCGTAGACTATAGCGATGCCCTAGCTGGAATCTTGTGCAGGATGACAGAATATTAAGCAGAAGAAAAAAGTGGCAAAACTTTGGTCTCTGCAGTACTTCCTGTTTTTAGAGAAGTTGTGAAGCATTGCTAAAAGGACTAGAATATGTTAAACTGCTTACCTTGTTCTGTGAGTCTGTGGTAGTTTACCACTTCTGTATAAAATGAGTATGAGTTGCTGGTAGTGAAAATAAGTGGATTGGAGGAACATTTTCATAGATGTTAGGGTCAGAAGGGACCTCCGTATATCATCGAGTCCGACCCCCTGCCCTGGGCAGAAAAGAGCGCTGGGGTCAGATGATCCCAGCTAGGTGCTTGTCCAGTCCCTTCTTGAAGACCCCCAAGGTAGGGGAGAGCACCACCTCCCTTGGAAACCCATTCCAGATTCAGGCAACACTTACTGTGAGGTGCTTTCTAATATCCAACATAAAACTGCTCTCTGTTGATTTGTGGCCATTGTTCCTAGTTTCTCCAGGGCGTGCCCTAGTAAATGGAGCATCTGCTATTCCCTGATGCCCTCTCCTGATGAATTAATAGGCAGCCACAAGATCACCTCTCAGCCTTCTCTTGTGAAGGCTGAAGAGATGTAGGTCCCTCAGTCTCTCCTCATAGAGCCTTGCTTGCAGGTCTGACCATACGAGTGGCCTCCTCTGAACCCTCTCAAGACTTTCCACGTCCCTCTTGAAATGTGGTGCCCAAAACTAGATGCAGTACTCCAACTGGGGCCTGACCAGTGCTGCAGAGAGGGGCAGCATCACCTTCCTGGACCTGTTTGTCATGCATCTGTGTCTGTCTATGCAGAGTAAGAGAGAGATCCATACATCAACACTCTAAGAAAAGAACAGTAATACCTAAGGGTAGTCATTTTAATTGTATTAACTGGATTAGGGAAGTAAAGAATCATGGCAGATCTCTGAGTACGTGCGTGCTGCCTCCCCTCCACTTTAAGAATAGTTTAGCATAATTGAAGTAACTGTAATTAAGCAAATAATTCAAATGTTTGATTTCAGTGCCTCGAATCTTGTTTGATGGCTGGTCTTACCATGACTTTGAAAGTGTTTTTGCCAGTGAAGATGAGATAGAAGAGCTCTCCCAGGTCATGGTTCAGCTAGCTAAGGTAAAATGACTCTTGTATTAATTTGGTGTACTAGTATGATCTCCTTCATTGATTCCTGTTTTGTAAAGCATTTGGAAAAGAACCAGGAAAGTGTTTGCAGCCCTGTTGGATGTGAAGATTTTTAATGAAGCAGTAAGTAGGGAGGATGTTAAAGTATCTGCTAACACTTTAAACTTGCTTAATCTGAGAGACTAGGTAATATTAGACCTCTTGGATGCATAACAGTAGGTGGGGGGGGGGGAAACTATCCAAAATTTTAAAATCTGTGGAAAGCTTCCCTTGCAGTGAGATTTAAAAAGCTCTGTTTCACTTGGTTTAGATGCAACTGATCAATAACTAGATCAATCTAAATCTGTGTGCTAATCTGGTAGAAGTACAAAAAACTGAATGGGTAGAAGCTGAAATGAGACACATTCGCATTAGTAAAAGGTGGAAAATTTGAAAAGTGAGGGTAGCTAAGCATGTTTTTTCAAAGTCTTAGGAATATGCGAGGCCTACTTCATTTGTTCTCCTTCTCCTTTTAGATTGGGTTCTAAAATAGTATAGCTGAACCAGAAATTAGTGCATAGGATCAATGCAGGAATCTTCTTACTCTTCCTTTACTCCCTGCCCCCAGCCCTCCTTTGCAGATCTTCTGCCTTGCTAACATCCCTCCACTCCCATCCTAGCTTCAGGTGATCCAGCTTACAGTTGCTGCAACTGATGCTTGTTCTGGTAGTTGAGGATGACACTTGGCTTTTGAGAACCAACACTCTTTCCATAAAATGATGACTGCTATATGCACATCTTAAATAGATGGCAGCAACTATAATCTAAAAATGGAAAGATCTCTGACTTCTAGTCGCATGTTGTCATGGATCTTATTGAGAGAACAGTGGATGGGGGCCTGGGGCTAGCTCTTTATGCACACAGCTCCTTAGATAAATGAATACATGCATGTATTTATTTTTGGGAAAGCTACATTAACTGATGTTTCTTTCTTTTTCTTTCCTCCAAGCTCCTTAATTCTAGCAACTGTCCACTCTCTAAATACTCACTGACTAATGATTGATTAGGATGCCTTTAAATTCACGAATGGTTAATTTTGAAAGATCATAAGAAGAGTTTATCTTCAGATAGTGTTGAATAATTACTCTCTCTGAATATTACTTTTTATTGATAGGATCTGAGTTTAGATGCTTTTGAATGAAGGCACCTTAAGTTGCTGACTTTATGAAAATATAGGCCATAGTTTAGTAGCTAAACTTGTGGTAAGGTTTTAATTGCATAAGCAGCTATACCATGCACTTCTACCACTTTTAGTTGCATCTGAACAGTCTGGCTATACACCAGATAGCAGAAGAATGGATCTGGCAGCAAGCAGAACTTGACTGCTATTATCACTTCCTCAGTAAAACAAGGGTTGGAAGGATGTAAATACAGGTGCACTGATAAAGGTTATTTTGGGCCAGCCATATTGGCCAATACTGAGCCAACTGCTGATACGCAGCCCAGCAGCTTGGAGAGCAGTGTCAGATTGCTAAGTCTGAAGGGCAGGGGGGGAGGCAGATCAAGGCCCCCATGGTGAGGGAGAGTGTGGGGCTGGAGCAGGTGCTGCACAGCTGGGGTGGGATGAGGCTGCACCTGCCCCAGCCCCACTTGGGTGTAGCCTGTGGCCCTGAGTGTACAGCGGGCAGCCTGTCCTTGCCCTGTGCACAGATCACTGGGCACATGCCTGCCATGCCTATCCTGGCATGTGCGTGGTGGTGGGAGCCACCCACGCCTATTGGACAAGATGTCTCTGTCCTGCACCTCTCCCTCACTGCAGGGGTCTCGATCTGGCTTCCTCCTTTCCCCCTGACTTACCAGCCAGACGCTGCTCTCCAAGCTGCTGGGCTGCACTCCTGGCTGTGTGCATGCTGCAGCTGCACACATTCATGTGGCATGTATCGGTGACGTTATCAGCCACATCGGCCAAAAAACCCCTGATTGCTGATTTTAATGTCAGTTTCCCTTTTATCTGTGTGGATATGATATGGACTGATTTATATTGGTGCACTTCTAAAAATTAAATCATTAAAGTTTTCCAGACAGTAACACAACTCTGATCAACTAATAGAATGGACTTTACTCTCAGAAAATATCTAGTTATGATTAGAGGTTTTTGGAGTCTAGTGAATATATTAAGTATATGAGAAAATTAAAATTGGCATGGACATGATCAGCAATTGGTGGGCTGCCTTTTATTAAGGAGGCTTCCCAGTATTGCTAACACTGTTCATACCAATTCATTGAGCAAAAGGTCTCTCTTTCAGCCTTTCTTAATGTAGGTAAAGCCATCACGTATCAAATAATGTCTCTTGGGAAGAGGTAGAAATGTTGCTTAAGCTATTGAGAAAAGGAAAATATTGGAAAAGTGAAAGAGTTTCTAGCATATCAATTCTAGAATCTTCTAGAAATAGTAATTGTCCTTTTATTGCCTAAAGAAACCTTTTAAGGAATAGAACTTGAGCTCCTTTACTGCTTATTGTTAGGTAAAGGTAATGTCGCAAAAAATCCTCCATAGCAAAGGAATTGAATGTAGTCCTTGGTTGTCTGTTTAGTAATCTCTTCTCTTTCTTTACATATCCTAATATTTATAGATTTTTGGTTTATCATGTAGCCTCAATTTATTCAAACTAATTGAGGACAAAACCTTTTCCTAAAATCGAACCATTTTGTTAATGGAATGCTTATTAAATATAATCCAATGCTGTAAGCCAAAAGTTTCATAACAGAATCAGTAAAATGGAAAATGGTGCATACTTTTATTTATTTCCCCCCTCACTGAGCAGCTCTTTCTTAGTTGCCATTGCTGTGATTTCCATTACACACAACATCAGTTGGTAATATGCCATGCATTTGGATAAACAGTGTTTGGATAAATGAGTCTTGTATTTTTAAGCACTTTTCTCTTTAATAAATCAAGACTGCTTTTTCCTGACTTTACTGTATACATTTTGGCTGTTGATAGCTCACCAATTTTTTCAAAAAACAGAAAGAAACCATGTATTTCCATATGTCCAAATACTTGCGCAGTAAAAGTTGCTTTTGCTGCTAAGTGGGGTAATCTCTGCTTGGATGGAAACCTCATTCATAGTGTTTAAAATGTGGAAAATAATTTTGTCTGTCACACGTTCACAAATACCTCTTTCTTCATATTGTCCCGTATCATATGTCCATGTAGCATACTACACTAAACATTACATATATGCTGTTTCCTGCTTATACCATGGAAAAAAAACTTGAAACAAACAGCCATGAAGCTTCCATGGAACTAATGTGTGGAGTATGGACTAGTAAGATGACCACTGAAGCAGCCTTGTTTATGTTGTACTTTTTGTCAATTCATTTCAGAATGAAAACTTTGATGGCTTTGTAGTTGAAGTCTGGAGTCAGCTGGGAAATCAAAAGCAAAAGTATGTATGAGTCTTTAGGGTGAAGAACTTGAAACATAGTTTCTAAAATAGAATCTTAGATTCAGGTTGGATTTTAATTCCTTACTTGCAGTAAGGAGGAAGGTTGGTTTGTATTTATAGTGCAGTTGGGGAGGACTCTTTCTTAATTAAATGCTAGTTACCTTTAAGATTATGAAAAGGGGAATAGCACCCTCCCACCTCCTGTAAACTCTTAAATCTGAGCCAATGGAACTGTTGAATTGTAATGAAATTGCTATCATATGTAACAGTATTGTCTTTAAAGAATGCTATGCCCTCTTGCCATTCCTTCACATAGCACTAACTTTTTAAAATACTTTTTCAGTTCAACAAAAAAACCCTGCTCTTCAGTTACATTATACAGCAGGGAAGCATATGCTTTTGTACCTGCAAACAGGTCTGAATTTTGGGGGCATAATTGGGAGAGCCTCAAGTTCAGAGAGGTTGACTTAAGAAGGATTTGTAAAGACTTCCTGTGTGAAGTTGCCCAATTGTTTCTACAATTGCTTAAGCTCAGTTATTTGTCTGATTTGTTTTTTGGGGGGTTTTTGGTGCCATGTTCGAGTACTTCACTGAAACTAGGCTTTCGGTCCTGTAAAGTACAATATAACCTGAACAATGGGTTTATCTGTAGATTCACAATATAGGCATTGCCAGTGGAAGAACAACTTCCTGGGGCCTGAAACATTTATGCAAAGACGACCTACTTTCTGATTGGAAGCATGTTGGGTAACCAATCGTGTTAATACCTGACTTGACCTCACTCGGATCCTCTAATTGAGACAGTCCCTAAAAGGGATTTAATGACCCTTCTGATGCAGAGTTGGGAGCTGTATATTAACTTGGCCACTGCTCAAGTAGCAATGCCAAGATTTCCCAAGGAAAAAACAAGTCCCTCTTGGTTTATAAGGGTGGATGCATGTGTTCTTAAAGAGAATTAGCAGTTCAGGCTTTTTTTTCTAATGGGTGACCAAATGTGTAGCCCCTTACTTAGCAAGCCTCTTCCTGAAATAAGAAAAAACCCTGACAAACCACTGCCAGACTAGTCTTCAAGATTAGAACTCCACAGGCAGGATGCAGAATCTTGCTGTTCAAGGGTAAATTGTTTTCTTATTTTTAATAAATTCCTATTCTACTTTTTAATCTGGATTGAATTGTAATAATTGTTGTGTTTGGACACTGACTTGGTGTGCACCACTGACATTGTGGAACTGAATAAAACTGGTAATAGAAGAGATGGTAGCTAGTGGGAAGCTTATTTGATAGGGTGAAGCAGAGGCAGAGAACCAAACCAGGGCAACTCCTGTAGGATTAAGTTTGTGGGATGAGGGGAAATTTCATATTCTGGCCCTAACAGAGTTGAGAGTCTTCCTATTACACAACCATAACAATGTGCTATCATGAAAAGTAAGTGTAACTTAAGGCTCTCAATTAAAAAAATGCTAACAGCAACTAGAGACCAATTTTAAATGTAAATAATGCACTCAAAGTCTAACTTCAAATCGCCCAAAATGACATGGCATAAGGGAGGTTGCTGACTAAGTTACAGGGAGTTTACTTCATTTGGTCTGTTTCCAGGGCTGGGTGCAATTGCTTGATTTTCGTGCATTGGCAGGATTTTGGGGTGATTTTTGGGGTGACTTTAGGAAGTTTATGAACAGTTGAGTTTCTTTCAGAATCTGCTTTCTCCTCTACCAAATGATTCTGTTTGGACCACAGCTGTTCCTTTTGAAGGAGAATTGTATCTGGCCCACAGCTGCCCTGGCTTTCAGCGCCTCTCGCCCTTCTCCCGTCCCCTCACCATAGCCAACTGCAGCAGCAGCTCCCACTCCAGTGGCCAGGCAGCCACTATCCTCCCCAGCCTGGCCTGTCCTGCTCTGCTCCCCCAGCCCTCAATGTACACACCAAGGCAGGGGGCACTGCCTTGTGCCTGGTGTCTGCATGCAGCTCTGACCCTGTGCCCATTTGCAGACCAGACTGACTTTTCACCGGGGTTCCGGCTAAGCTCGGGCATGGCTCTTCCCACTGTGGGGGAAGAGGGTCAGGACCTCGGGTTGACTGGGCTGGACCAGGCCAGGGTCTGGTAGGGGCGCAGGTGCCACTAACACAATGCCATGCTGTGTTCCTCTGCTACTTGGGTATAGCTGGCATGGCTCCTGCTGGAACCTGGCACAGCTTCTGCCTAACCCAGAATCCCCACGGCATGCAGCAGGGTAAGGCAGAAGCCGCTCCAGGTGTGCCTTTATCATGCGAAGTGGCATGCAGGAATATAGTGTGGCAATGGCCCAGCTTGGCTGCATGCTGGCAACTTGAGGTGGGGCAGCGGGTGCAGGGAGAAGTAGGGAACACATCTGGGTCTGGCTGGGCTGGTGTTGTACTAACTTGCAGCTTTTGGCCCTCTTCTCCCTACATCCCCTTCCCTGCCCCGAGTTCCTGACACATAGCTGGGCTGGTGCTATACTGTGTTGCTGTGTGCCACTTAAGGTCATAAGGGTGCAGCTACCTGACCTGGCCCTATGCTGGGGACTTGGGGAGGGGAGGTGTGCATGTGCAGCCTTCAACAGCTCAATGAAACTCATTAAGTGGCCCTCAAGCCCAAATAATTGCCCACCCCGGTCTTATCCTACCGTGCTGTGGCATTTCTTTAAACAAGTTTGCCTCTGTTGTAACCACTGTACTTGTAAGCTTACTCCTATCTTTGTATTCGTAGCAGCAGACTGTCTTTCCACTCTTCTTGGGGCAGGTAAACATTCAGCAGTTCAAAGCACCAATTTATCTGATTAGCTTGTGCAGATGAGCTAACTTACTGCTCAAGCAAGGTGGTTCTTGTACTAAAGCAAAAGACACGGGGTGGAATTAGAAGACTAGGTTTTCATCAGTGGCATAGAGTGGATCTCCAGCGCCCAGGCATCAATGCTTACATTTGCAGTCCCCCAGCGGCCGATTTTGAAGCCTGGACATGCCGGCAGCAAAACCAGAAGTGCTGCCAGGGGACCAAGTACCCCTTGGAGGGCCTGGCTGGTGCCCCACCCAGGCCAGCACCTGGGGACATGCCCCCTGCCACCTCCCTGTCGCTACAGCAGTTGTTTTCATGCATACTTTCCGTGGATAAGCATTAATGGATTTCTGCTGCTCACCAGAAAAAAGAAAATACAGGTATGAGGCTGTCTGTCTTCAGTCAAACCACATGGTGGCAGTATTGTAACATAATTGCTACATTGCACGAACTAGTTTCCAACAGATTGTATTTTAAAAGTAAAATCTTTCACTTCTGATGTTTTGTTTTTGGCATCAAAAAGTAGGAGAAGATGAAGCTGGATGTTGGCATAAGAAGGAACTCCTATACCTGTAAGCAAGTAGGACCTTTAACAGAACAGTGATTCATGCATACTTTCATATAGAATATTGGTTTTTGTTGTTGGATTGTGGAAAAAGATCCTCTGAATCTTTCTTTCATCTGAATAGGCTAGGCTGTCCTTTTTTGGAATCTGACCTCAAAGAATCTGTAAGATCATAGTGGAACTCCCATGAATCTCTGAAAGCGGAAAACAGCCAAATTCTTAAACTGTGGTGGCAAGCCAACAAAGAAATGCGTTTTACTGATATGGGATGGCAACTGCACCTGTGACTCTTTTTTTTTTTATAGGCTGTAGAAATGAGCTGGCCTGTAGCCATTAAGTCCACATCCCTGTTTGGTTTTAGCAACTAACAGCTGACTACCAGGAATTGTAACAGATTGTGATGTGCCCATTCATTGGTTGTTCGATAGTGTTGGTCCAACCTATGTATAAGCAAGCAAGCAACTAATACTTCCTGCCTCTGCAATTTTTTTTCTTTGAACCAGCATTGGTGTTGTGCAGGTGTAAATGAAAATAAGTTCTAGAGCTGTTGGAATGGTTACATACTTAAATGGCACTCTGGTTAAAACTGTTATCTCCTTGAAGTGCATTGGAAGGATCAAAATGAGAAGGTGGCTGCTTAGACTCTGGTTAAAAGTAGCTCAGAAACAACTTCTTCTTCAAAATACTTTGTTTTATACCTTCAAACAGAGGTACAAAACATGGAGAGAGAAAAGCAAAGAAAGCCAAAATGAACAATAAGCGCCTCTATACACATTTCTGTTCCACTCTTTAACCTTTCTTCGCAATAATTTGATAGCTCCCTGGCACCCACCTCATCTCTAACTGGTTGGGAGAACTTGAGTGTCTCAAGTGGGCATATGCAGCTTTCCAACCTGTACATTCTTGGTCTAAGCTCCTCTATGCAATCTAGCTCACTAAAATGTCCTACTTCTTTTTTCTTTTCTTAGCCTAGGTCCAATAGTGTGTGGTTTTTGTTGTTTTTTTTTTTTTTAAATCATTTATTTCTTGCTTAAGCAAAACTGCTATGACACCAAACTTAGGGCATTCATTATGGCTATCAATCCAGTTATTCTATTTGGCTGTTCCTTGTACAGACACCTCTTGCTTTTTGCTTGCTTCCCCTAACACTACCTTCTGATCTAACTTTGTAACAACCTCCATTATAATTAGTGACATAGAGTACAACTGGGTGATAAGCATCCTTCTAGATGCTTTCCAGTTCATTATACATATGTCTGCCTATACAGGAATGTTTAAAGGGAAGGGGCTTACTACTTAAACAAAACAAAAATACCCTTTCTTGGTAAGGCATCTAGTTGAGTTAAATCTTTGTATTCATCTCTGCCTGCTGGGCCAAAATGCGTGCTGTCCCTTTCACTTCTTCAGCTAGTTTTTTTTTTTAAGTGCAGGTGCATTACATTGGGATTTGAAATTCTGAGTTCCCAGGTTCCCCTTCTTTACCCTTTTGTGAAGGGGAACCAATATGGGCCTCTCGTCTTGTTCTCAAGAGCAAAAAGTTTGTGTTGCCAGCATTCCAGTTCTGGCTGCTGCTGAGCCTATTTGCTCGAGCTCCATCTCTTCTTGTCCTATTAAAATTCATTCCATCTCTCCTCTGTATCC